ATCAGCCAGTTCAAAGGCTGTGAATGTAACATATGAACTCAGAATGCTGGGCTGTGTAGAGAGTAAACAATGAGGCAGTTAACCCATGGGTTAGTCTTTAAACAACTCAGTGCTCCAGGTATGTCTGTCATACTCACAACGTATGACCCAGCTGATGCTATGTGTTGTGTAAAGGCAAAAATGAGTGTATGGGTAGTATACTCATTCATTCTCACTTCTGCATGGAAAAAACGTGTGTCAATTAACCTATGATTATTATGTGTGAACCCCAGAAGCAAAACTACTTAAATTTACAGTTGTAGATTCCCAGTGATCAAATCATGTGGGTACTTTAGTTTCCAAGTAAAAAGTAGCAGATTTCTTTATTACTTTGCCCTTTAAAAAATCCTGCTTAATGTAATATGCCAGTTGCATTCCACACAGCTAATTTGTTAGGAAGCAGGTAGACTAGGTACCAGTTTGCTTATCAATCTTCTGCTCTAGTAAGAGTGTTATTCTCTTGCTTCTTTTTATCATAGTGGCTTGCTGGTGGAGGGCCAGCCTACCTTTCAGCAGAGGGAGGTGGTCACCTCAGGTGGATGATGCTGGGAGATGGCGGCAAGGTATCGGAGGAGGGAGCTGTGGGCCACAAAGGCTGTCCTGCAGCCCCTAAAATAGGCTGCATATTTCAGGTATGGTGGGAAATGCCCCATTGCCAATGTTGAGCAAAGATACACCTGCCAGTCAACTTAGGTTTTGTATATTTTCTCCTTCATTTCAGGCAGCAAAATGCTAAACAGATGACAAAAGTAGTTGGTGAGTCTGGTTTACCAGATTAGAGTTGCAAAGATTTAGGAACTTAAGAAAAACACACAGAATCGGATTAGAGGTCTATCTTGTGCAGCATTTTGTGCACACAAAGGTCAACCAGTTGCCTTAGAAGGAAGAGACAAGGAGACACTCTCTTTCTCTAGTTGCTGCAGGAGTAGCAAATCTGCTTCCTTTGGAACATCTGTCTGCCCACATCATGACTGCCTACATCCCATCTCAATGGCCATGCTGGCTGGGGCTGATGGGAGTTGAAGTTCCACTGCATCTCAAGGGTCGCAAGTTACACATCCCCGCCCTCCCAGAAAATTCCTTTACCTAGCACAGGCCTGGATCAAGGTGTCTTGCTCCCTGAGGTATGATGTGCTGGTGCCTCTCCCATCAAAGTGTATGGGTTTCAAGGCTGGCCAAGTTCTTTTGGTACATAGGGTGGAAAATTCCCACAAGTACCCATTGCACTAGGGGAGTTCCTCATCCATTGCAGACTTTGAGCTTCATGGTGCTGAACTCTATCGCCAAAGTAGCTTCACCATCATAGAGCACCATATATAGCTTGTATAAAGCTCAGAGGAAAAGCTACAGCTGTCTAGCTAGGACTAATGTCTAGCCAAAGTAGACATTATTTTAAATTTGTGTATAATGCTTATTTTTACTCCTTATTCTTTACTAGACACAGGGGCCCCTTATCTGGATCAGGACACTTGTACGACAGTGGTGGGATTTTATGATATGAATTGGGCTCCTGTACCTACTCTAGAATCTCAGTGAGAAGGCAGGCAGAGCTTTCAGGTACACTTTTCAAGGACTTTCTGTTTTGTGCTTATATTTTAGGCTGCATTTTTAGAGGTATTTGCCTGGAATTCAGCTATAACTGTTAGGACTTTGGCATCCACTTTTATGTTGATAAAAAAAGTGGGGGATTGTTTCTCAGCTGGATATTATGCAGTTCACTTGTTTAGCTTCAGATCTTTAATGCTGCATCCTGCCACTCATTGAGGCTCCATGTCAGGTTTATGAGACATTAGAATACAGACCACAATGAGTGTATGTAAATCCAAGGCACATGGACCTGCCATGAACTGAAAAAGAAGCTAACTGCAGAAGTCCCCAGGTGTTCAAGGACATGTGAGTATTCTCACCTATGAGCCAAGTAAAACACATTTTGGTTTCAGGCAAGTTTTATAACAAAGAAAAGGATGAGGGTGTAATTTCTGTTTGGTCACATGATAAAGCCAGTAATATGTGAGGATCCAGGACTGCATGAAATTCATTATAATAATTGTAATAATGCCCAAGCTGGCACATGATTTCAGGGAAACATTTCTCTCATGCCATGTTGGATCAACATGATTGAAAAGTAAAAGATTAAAGTGCCTTATAAAGCCCTTTGGCAGTAGGCAGGGCAAATGTTTCGTGATCTAATCCTTAGGCGTGTTCAGAATGGTTAATTGTTTTTGTTTGGGTTGGCACTTGTCTTTTTAATGCACTGCTAATTATTTCTGATGAGAAATAAACTGTGATTTGCATTTACTTCTGTAAAATGGGTGCAACCAGGTTTTGTGAGGCAAGACATACTGGAGAAGACAGTAATGCTAGGGACAGTTGAAGGCAGAAGAAGAAGAGGGAGACCAATCATGAGATGGCTGGGTTCCAGACAGGGAGCCGCGGCCTTGAGTTTACAAGGGCTGTCAAGGAGGGGACATTCTGGAGGGCCTTCAGTCTTAGGATCGTCCTAAGTTGGAGATGACTTGACAGCAAGTAACAACAACAGAGGGAACACAATTTATCCTTCAGTCACTCGCAGGTTAGTTTGAGATGTCATCCTACCTTTATGCTAGACTTAAGAAAGCAAAACTAGCCAAATACTTATTTAATTACAGTGATTTAATTGTTCTCTCCTAATATAGAAAACCAACTGCATGTGATCATGCTTCTTTCCCTACTGGCTCCAGAAAATGTGCTTTGTACTGCAAATGCCTTTGGTATTTATGATTTTTGCAATAAAAAACCTGCTAAACATTTATGCAAACTGCTACTCTACTATCTTATTCCTCAAAGTGGTTTGCCATGTACCTGTGGGAATCCCACAAATAGGACATGTAGCTGTTTCTCAGGAGCTGCTGTTCTGGCAACACAAAGCCCTTATGAGTAGCTTTTGCTTCCATGAATCTGTCTAATCCCCATCTAACATGATGTTTAAAAAAGCCTTTTTGCACACAGGTCGATGGCTGCCTGTTTTGAACTTGAGTCTGCCAGGCTGAGCTTCAATTCATGCTAAAGACCTCTGTGATTTGATGGCCACCACAGGATGAAGTGATGGCCAATTCTGTAGTTTAACGGTGCACTGAGTGAGGTGCTTCATCTGTCCTGAATATCTCACCAATCAGCTTCATGGGATAGATAACCCATGATTCCTCTCGTATGGGAAAGGATGGAGAAAAGCCTTTCCATCTATACTATGCATACCTTTATAGATCTTCACCATGACACCCTTAGAGATTTTACACTCCGTTTTTCCTAAAGTAAGAGAGCCAGTGTGGTGTAGTGGTTAAGAGTGTGAGACTGGGACTCAGGCAATCTGGGCTCTAGTCTCCACCCAGCCATGGGGCCAACTGGGTGACTTTGGGCCAGTAACAAACTCTCAGTCCAATCTACCTCACAGGGTTGTAGTTGTGAGGACTGAGAGAACAGGAGAAGAATGATGTAAGCTGCTTTGAGTTCTTTCAAAAAGTGAAAAAGGCAGGATACAAACCTAATACATAAATAAATGGCCTCAGAAGTTGTAACCTTTCATCATGAGGAGTTGCTTCAGCCCCCTGATCATTTTGGTTGCTGTTTCTGCATCTTTTCAACTTTTCCATATCCTTTCTGAGGTGTGATAACAAATGGATATGGAATTCCAAGTGTGGCCATACCATAAACTTAGACACATTTTTAAAAGATTGCTTTTCTAATGATCCCCAACACAGAATTGCCCATCTTGGAACAGCTGCTCACAGGATTTGAGTTGTCTCTCAAGATCCCAGGCTGGTCAGCTTACTGGTGCCATTTGAATATATTCAGTTAAGATTCTGCCACCACAGAATCTGCCACACAGAATCTTATGCTCACAGTGAACTGCAATGGTATTTGCCGTTTAATGCCCTGCCGGTTCACTCAGACTGGAGAGATCCATTTTGAGCTTTTTTTCACTCCTTGGGTATACAACTCAGTTAACAAATATGAAAACACTAAGAATGGAGTATCTAAAGTGCTTGATGCAGGGAATGGGTTTCGGCATTTACATTCCCATTGAGCTATACAAGGTTCCCTGGGTCGCTTAATGAAAGTGACACTTTTTCAGCCTGATCTACCCACAGACTTTGCAGGGTTACAATATTGCTGCTCTGAGCAGCTTGGAGGAATGTTGGGATGCACATGTAATTAATTTTGCCACTGCAATTTGTCTGGAAGAGAGTTGTGACTTCCCTTTCTGAAAAGCGCATCAGGCTCATTCAACTTGTTGGAAGTGAATTCATTTTCCTGGGGAGTGCACTGTATTTCTTAACAGTGTCTGCTCTCTACACAGGGCCTTGTTAAGGATGCTAACCACGTTCCTGTTTCCCAGCGGACTACCAGGTAATTGCTGGAAGAGGGCATGGAGAATGATATCCTCCAAACTTGGCATCGACACTAATTCTCAGGCCCCCTTTCCATCCTTTCACACCTACTCGCACAATCCGCAGCCAGTAAGGGGGGAAAAAACCTTTTGCGCACAGGTCGGTGGCTGCATGCTTTGAACGTGAGTCCGCCCGGCTGAGCTTCAATTCATGCTAAAGACCACTGTCTGGACTGGACGAAGAAGGGTTTAGCTACAAGAGGCAGCCGCGTTCGGCCCGAGAAACCCTGTAGCCACGCAGAACAATGAGCGCTCTTCCGGCCACGACCTGCAGAGGTCAGTGTTCCGAGTGGGAAACCGCTTTGCCAGAGCCACACTTGCAAGGATGACAAGCGCAGCGCTCGCCGCCAGGTTCTTCCTCCAGCTAGAATTCCTTCAAGAGGGGCAGGGCTTGCTTCCATCTGTGCTCGCCTTCCCTGTGCATTGTGGGATTCGTAGTCTTCAAGGGCCAGATGATCGCTCGGCCTTAAAAGAAGCAGGACTACAAGTCCTACAATGCCGCAGGGTAACTGGCTGGCCGTTCCTTTTGAATGATTTCACTGCGGTTTACATTCTCGACGAGTTTCGCAGCAGCAGGAACCATGGTGTAGGGAGCCTCCGGATCGCTGGCGTGTTCGGCAGGCGGGGCGATCCGGGGCGCAAGGAGCCTGCCCGTTGAATGGCAGCCTGGGCAAGTTGCGCCGGAGGAGAGAGGACCATGATAGCTCGAAGGATGGCGTGGTTTTAAAGGCTGCAGAAGCGGGGGGGCTGCCCCTGGATTGCGTTCTCGCTCGCTCTCTGCCGCATTTCCTTCCTTCGCCCCTCTGGAAACCCCCCTCGTGTAGCTCTGCCGCAAAGATGTCCCTAGCCATGGAAGAAGAAGAGTACACCAAGCTGGTGATGGAGTCGGAGCCCGAGTGGCTGCGCGCTGAGATCAAGCGGCTGTTCCAGGAGCTGGGCGAAACCACCCGGGAGAAGATCCAGGCGGCGGAGTACGGGCTGGTGGTGCTGGAGGAGAAGCAGCAGCTCAAGCAGCAGTACGAAGAGCTGGAGGTGGAGTACGAGACCATCCGTACCGAGATGGAGCAGCTGAAGGAGGTGAGGAGCCTCGCTCGGGGGCTGGATCGTGCGGCTGCATTGTCTGCGGAATGGAGTTGCGGGGGGCGGGGGTTGCTTAAGAGACGGTGCGTGAAGCAGGAGGCAGATCGAACGCCGCCCGCTTTCTGCAGGGAACAAATACGGGAAACGGGGAAGCGTGGGTTAGTGGTTAGAGCATAAGCGGGAATCTAGCGCTCAAGGCTCCGGGCTTCCTAGGCTGTTTTAATCCGTTGTGTGCGTGTTGTGGGGAGGCGCAGTGCATTTTCCTTGTCTGGTTACATGCACGAACTCTCCGAATTGGACGTTTGCAAAGGGAGGCGTAGGGGGGTGATCGCCGCAGAACGTTACAGCGTCGCCACACCCCTTCCACCCCAAGATTTCAAAGGCCGGCCGTATTGCGTGTCCGTCCTGCCTGCGCGGCCAGTGTGCCTATGTTGGGTGCGTGGCGACTGCAGCGCCTTGCAAGCCCTCCCCCTGCTTGGGACGTCCTGGAGGGAGCCCTCTCCGGAAGGCAGCTGCTGGCGGCATCATCCTTTAGTTTTCCGTCCAGCTCACTGGAGCTGCGTAGCTCGCCCGCCCCCGTTTTCCCCGTGCGATGCGGTGTCACAGAAGCAACCAGGATCCGGCGCCCTCCTCTCCCCACTTTTCTTCTGCTGGCGTCATGCCGTGCAGCCCCCTTAAAGGGGCAGCTCAGCAATTCCGCTAATGCACCGTGTCCTTCCCATGACATCTGCCGTATCCTCTTGCACTGCCATGAAATGTGCAGGATAGAGGATACTGTGAGATTAATACTCTTGAGCTCGGGTGACAGGCTGAGGCTGCCCACCAGAGAAGGGCATTCTCCGGCGCTTCCCCTTGCAGAGCCCTCATGGGGAGGAACTTGCATTCCCTTCGACAGGAATGGGTGCAATCCAGCGCAGGGCCCTGCAAGAAATGCGCGCGCGCGCGCGCTGGTCCCTTGTTCCAAATTGCCTCTTCAGCAATAGGCACAAGTCCTGGATTCCATTATTTCTCGCTACTTCAGATGGTGCTTGTATTGTGCCATCAGAGGTAGAATTCTTAAATGTTGACAGCATGAATTTCCATAACTTAACCGTATTGTCTAGCCTAAAGACAAAAGTAAGCTTCAATTTTAAAACAGATCATTGCATTTAAGGGTTCATTTCAGAGGATTTCTCTGGTGCAAGGCTGTAGAGCTGATGTTTGACATATGAAGTATATTGAAAGTATGAAGTATATTGAAAGCAGCACAATAAGTTAAGCAACTGGGAGTAAATTGTACTTAACTCTTCACAAGGCTGCCAGGGACTTGACTATCTTGATTGCTTGAAATTCTCAAAATTTCATAGCAGTGCTTAGGAATTTGAAATCCTCTTTGTTATTACTACATTGCATTTATAAGCAGCTTTTCATCCTCTTGCAAGGAACCCAAAGTGACTTACAAGGTTCTCTCCTCCAGCAGCAACCCTGTGTTGTAGGTTGGGCTGAGCGGCAGTGAGTGACTGGCTCAAAGTCGCTGAGTGGGCTCCATGGCTGAGTGGGGGCTAGAAGCCAAATCTCCTGAGTCCCAGTCAAGCACCTAAACTTTGTCTAAAGCCGATTCCTAAGAATCTGATTTTTACCTCTCATCCTCAGTCCACTGTGTGCTTACGAACATAGGAGCCCTGCTGGATCAGACACAGGGGCCACGGTCTATCCAGTGCAGCGAGTGTCCACACAGCGACCAACCAGCCACTATGGGCAAACCCACAAGCAAGCATGAATGCAACTACACCCTCCTGCCCATGTACATAGACATCTTCCATGACCTGGCTGAAGGGCCCCTGGATCTCCCCCATGTGCAGCCAAGCCAGTCCTTGACCAAGGCTGTGGCTCCTCTAGCTGGCACCTGGTTCAGGTTGCTTTGACTGTCCTGCCCCATCTTTCCAGTGGGGAGGATGCAGGTCAAGTCAAGCATGTGGTGCATTGTTCATCGTTCCAGTTGGGACAGTGAGTGATGCACTAAAGGAAACTTCTCATCAGGCCTACTTACACAGCCTTCCATTTGCTTTATATTCTCAGAACCTCTCTGATATAATGGCAGAGTGGGTGTGCCATCTGGTTCTTTACTGGGTATAATTAGGTGACTGCCATAAAGCACGCAACTGGATACTGTTTTTCTGGGTTTTTTCATCCTGGACATCAGTTTTTACATTCCTTTAAGGGTGCTTTGGCAGTTTATAGTGCAAGCAAATGTACTTCTTTCTCCTATCCTGTTGGAAAAACTGTCTTCAGCTCTGATGAAAAGAATCACAGCTGTCTTGCTTTTGCCTATTCTGCTCAATAGCAGAAAAGGAGAAGGCTGTGAATCTGCAGGGTGAGGACGGCAAGAGATTCGGGTGTTAGCCATCTTTGTTACACCAGTTGTATCAATTGGTAAATTAGAAAGTGGGAGCCAATTATGTCTTGGATGTGCTTTGGAGACAGGTAACACTGGAGCAAAAGCAGAGAAGGAAGCCTATGAGGGAAAGAATAGCTGTATTTTTATTGTGGAATTATATGTTAGCAATTTGCTAGCCATGGGGTGCGACTGGCAATAGTGCAAGCCCAATTTAACTGCCCATTGTAAAATGTGACTGATTTAACTAAACAGTGCAAGCCCCTGGGCTGACGTTTATTGATGAAACATGTTTTATGGAAATGTGCTTGATATTGTCCATTCCCTGTAAACAAGAGGGGTTTTTTTTAAATTTGGGAATTTCACTTAATTAAAACAGGGTGTCTTTCAGATGTCATTTAAATCTATGAAAGTTTTCAGCCTTCATCTGTTGCTGGAAGGATATGTCTATATTGTCATGGTATATCTGGAAAATACTGTGCAGTTATAGAAAATATTCTTACCGAGATTGTGGTTTTATCACCAACAGTTTAATCTATGTTTGCTCCTTTGTGACTATGAGCCCTATTCTGTGCCATATGTTAATGTAATATTTGCATATCTCTGCATAAGCACAGATGAGAGGCCTTTTTGTAGCTTGGTTGGAGAAGGCAACTGGATTTCTAGTGTTCAGATAAGGGGGTGATCCAGTGACCAGATATCCATTCTAGAGCTTGATGTCCCTTTCTATGACTACTAGAACTGAAATACATTGTTTTTCTCCCAGCAAATTTTTGCAAATTTTTTCAGTCTACACAGTACCAGAGTTCATTTTTTTGTTTGTGCAAAGTTTCTTTTATGTGAAGAATATGCACAGTGTTGACATTGACTGAGTATAGACTGGGCTTGGGAAAATTATAGTTCTTTAAACCTTAATGATGATATGGAGAAATCTGGACCTCATTAGGGATTTTCTAAATCTTTAACAACTGTACACTAAGCAGTCTGGAAAAAGAGCCTGTAGGTAAAGTGATTTTTTTAATGCAGAAACTTGGAATTTTGTAAGCTTGTTTAAAAGACTTTGAGTCTTATCCTGCATGTGTTCAATCAGGATATGTTTATTCAGAAGTAAGCTCACCTGATCTTAGTGGGGTTTACTTGCTGAGCTGCTAGGTATAGCACAGAGGAGAATTAGCATTAGAGCTAGTTAGCAAATATTCTGCAATGGCAGTTGGCGGACCTTTTTATTTATAATTTAGAGACAGCACCCTATTGCTGCTGTTCTGCTTAGGCAATTAGAGAAGGATTAGCATTGGCAGCTTGTAGCACAATGGCAATAGCATATGCTAAGCAATGGGTTTTCTGGGGAAACCAGTGGGCACCATTGCAGTTGCCCTAGAGGTTGCTTACGCTGGTGCTGTGTGATAAATGGGCCTAAGGGGAGCAGCAGCACTGGATGGTGCCACTAGGTTTCTAAGACCAGCCTCCCTGACAGTATCCTCACGCTATGCTGTGTCCACAATACATAGCATAGTGCTATAACACAATGTAAAGCATGGTGCATAGAATAAGAAGCAGCAACTCCATGAGCTCACGCGGCAAGCTGTGTGTCTAATGATATCCTATATACTGCAGATGGGTGTCTGTGGAATTGGAAACCTCCGTAGGATGAATGCTGTGAGTTGAACCCAATGGTATTGTTCTGCTGATTGAGGAAGTGTAGGAAACCAGTCATTACATGTTCCTGCTTATCAGCATTTTTGTTGAGCCGAAGGCAAAGACAGCTGAATCTAGAGGCCTTCCCTTTCTTGGTGGTGTTTCTTAAGTCCAGGCAAGCCTCTTTAAAAGGAAAAGTAAGAATTCTTGTTCAAATGATTGTTGTCCACACACCCTTGAATGGCTGGAATTCGGAACACCAGTAGGTCTATAATGCGGTTCCTGACTTTCCTGTTCTTTTTCAGCCTTAGGTTCTGAAATTTTCTGTAACCTCATTCAGTTAGTTACTAGTGTAGGTGGAAGCATCCTGTGAAACAGAATGCAACTCAACTGTTTGTCAGGCAGTGATGAAAAATGTGCAATTTTATCTCATTTGAGGAGGAAGTGATATAGCGAGAACTTGTCCAACCACCCCGCTTATTGTCATTATCGTCATTGCTCTTTACTGCTCTGCTTGGATTAAGCAGTGAAGTTTCAGAGGCACCTACCAAGCTCTTCTATGCATATTTATAAATTCAGGTTTTTATGATTGCTACCCAAGGGGAACGACGCCATAATCATGACAGACATTCCAGTCCTGCCGGTGTGATTATGCAGGAAACAGGCACCTGCGCACTCACCTCTTCACTGAATGTGCATGTGTGAAAGAGGTACTGTGGGGAGGATATGCATCTCTTTGGCTGCTGCCTTCACTCACACATTCCCTGTTGGGACGGTTAGGTTTTGATGCCTGCATCATGGTGTCCGATCTGATCTTCTGTCAACCCACTCTATCCTCCTGGTTCTCCGGATGTATGCAGGTGAAGCTGTGCACGTAGAAACCCGTTTGCTTCTTGCCACAGTGCACAAAGATCTGTGGATAAGGCTCATCATTTTTATAGATGAACTATAAAGTGTAGTATGCCCTCAGCTACCATTAGAGGATGAC